CATCAGCATCATCCGCATCATACGCATCATCATCATCATCAGCATCATCATCGTCATCATCATCAGCGTCCTCATCATCAGCATCATCATCATCATGCACATCATCATCATCAGCATCAGCATCATCATCAGCATTATCAGCATCATATCAGCATCATCAGCATCCTCAGCATCATCGTCATCATCAGTATCAACATCATCATCATCATCATCATCATCATCATCATCATCATCATCATCATCATCCTCCGCATCATCCCCCTCCTCCTCCGCATCCTCCTCGTCCTCCTCCTCCTCCCCGCCTCCCTCTCACCATATCATCATCATCATCAGCATCATCATCATCATCATCATCGTCATCATCATCATCATCATCATCATCATCAGCATCATCATCGCCATCATCATCATCATCATCACCATCAACAACCACATCAGCATCAGCATCATCGTCATCATCAGCAGTCTCATCATCAGCAACATCATTATCAGCAGCAGCATCCTCGTCGGCATCATCATCGTAAGCATCATCATCAGCAGCATCATCATCATCCTCCTCATCATCCTCGTCATCAACAGCATGCTCATCATCAGCATCATCATCAGTATCATCATCATCAGAATCATCACCATCCTCCTGCATCCACCGTCCTTCTCCTCATCCTCCTACTCCTCCTCAACATCCTCCTCCTCCTCAGCTTCTGAATCCTCGACCTCCTCTTTCTCCTGCTCCTCCTCCTCCTCCTCCTCGTCCTCCTCCTCATCCTCCTCCTCCTGCCCCTCCTCCTCCTCTTCCTCCCCGTTCTCCTCCTCCTCCTCTTCCTCCTCGTCCTCATCATCAGCATCATCAGCATCATCATCAGCATCATCAGCATCACCATCACCATCACCATCATCATTATCATCATCATCATCATCAGCAGCATCATCAGCATCATCCTCAGCATCCTCATCATCAGCATCATCATCAGCCTCATCAGCAGAATCACTATCAGCATCAGCATCATCATCATCATCATCACCACCATCATCATCATAATAAGCATCAGCAGCATCATCATCATCATCAGCATCATCAGCATCATCATCAGCATCATCATCAACATCTCAGCATCATCATCATCATCATCAGCATCAGCATCATCCGCATCATCATCAGCCTCATCATCATCAGCATCAGCAGCACCCTCATCATCATCGTCATCCTCATCATCAGCATCATCAGCAGCAGCATCCTCATACTCATCATCATCCTCATCACCATCATCATCAGCATCATCGTCATCATCATCAGCATCGGTATCTTCATCAGCATCCTAATCCTCAGCATCATCATCAGCATCAGTATCATCGTCAGCATCAGCAGCATCATCATGAGCATCAGCATCAGCATCATCAGCAGCAGTATCAGCATCAACATCATCATCATCATCATCATCATCATCATCATCATCGTCATCATCATCATCATCATCATCATCATCATCATCATCATCATCCATCATCATCATCACCACCACCATCATCATCATCATCATCATCATAATCATCGTCACCATCGTCATCCTCATGATCAGCATCGTCATCATCAGTATCATCATCATCAGCGCCATCATTATTAGCATAATCAGCATCATCATCATCATCAGCATCAGCATCGTCATCATCATCAACATCATCAGCGTCAGCAGCCTCATCATCATCAGCATCAGCATCACCATCATCATCAGCATGATATATAATCATTGTCAGCGTCATCATCATGGCCATCAGCCTCACCAGCCTCAGCATCCTCATCATCATCACCATCAACATCATCATCAGCAGCATCCTCAGCATCATCAGCATCATTATCATGATCGGCATCATCACCACCATCAGCAGCAGCACCATCATCATCAGCAGCAGCAGCATCATCAACATAATCAGCATCATCAGCATCAGCATCATCATCAGCACCATCAGCATCAGAATCAGAACCATCATCACCAGCAGCATAATCACCACCAGCATTAGCAGCAGCATCATCATCATCATCATCATCATCATCATCAGCGTCGTCATCATCAGCAGCATCATCATAATTATCATCGTCACCAACATCAGCAGCAGCATCATCATTAGCATCAGCATCGTCCTCATCATCAGAAGCATCATCATAAGCATCAGCATCATAACCATCATCAGCAGCATTATCAGGATCATCATCAGCATCATCAGCATCCTCCTCATCCTCATCATCATCATCATCCTCATCATCAGCAGCACCATCAGCATCATCATCCGCATCAGCATCATCAGCATCATCATCACCATCATCATCGTCAGCATCATCGGCATCATCCAGCATCAGCACAAGCATCAGCATCGGCATCAGCATCGGCATCAGCATCATCATCAGCATCATCAGCATCAGCATCATCACCAGCAACATCATCGTCAGCATCAGCATCAGCATCAGCATCATCGTCAGCAGCATCATCAGCATCACCAGCATCATCATCATCATCATCATCATCATCATCATCAGCATCATCATCATCAGCAGCAGCAGCACCACCACCATCAGCATCATCAGCATCAGCATCCTCATCATCCTCATCATCACCATCAGCATCATCAGCAGCAGCATCAGCATCGTCATCAGCAGCGGCATAAGCAGCAGCATCAGCATCAGCAACAGCATCATCTGCAGCAGCAGCATCGGCATCATCATCAGCAGCATCAGTATCAGCATCAACATCACCATCATCATCAGCAGCAGCATCGGCATTCAGCAGCATTATCATCACCACCACCACCTCCTCAACACCGTTATCATCAGCAGCAGCATCATCATCGTCATCATCATCGTCAGAATCATCATCGTCCTCCTCATCATCAGCATCATCACCAGCAGCATCATCAGCAGCAGCATCAGCATCAGCATCAGCATCAGCATCATTAGCATCATCATCATCATCATCATCATCATCATCATCATCGTCATCAGCATCATCATCACCATCATCACCATCATCGCCATCATCACCATCATCAGCATCATCATCATCATCAGCAGCATCATCGTCAGCATCATCATCATCATCATCATCATCATCATCATCATCATCAGCATCATCATCATCATCATCATCATCATCAGCATCATCATCATCTTCGTCGCTCCCCTCCTGCATGGCGACGCCTGTCACCTGTTAGGCGCATGTTGGCCCTCGCCCCTCCGCGCACGCGCACGTACTTTCACGTGCGAAGCATCCTCCACTCCCAGGTTGGGTCCCTCGCCTGCGGCCTCGCCTTGCCCCGAAACACTTGGAAACACGTGCCCCGCGCCCGCGGGCCAGGCGCATGCTGGGGCCAAGCCTCCGCGCACGTACTGTCACGTGCAGCGAGTTCGTCATCCCCAAAAGTTGGGTCCCCCGTGGACACGTGAAAGCACGTGCCCCGCGTGCACGCGCCAGTACATGTTGCCCGCCCCCCCCCCCCCGCGCGCACGCGCCAGGCGCATGTTGGGCCCCCCCCTCCCCGACGCCAGTTTACATGCAAAGAGTTCGCCACCCCCAGGCGCCTGCAAGCTGGGTCCCTCGCTTGCGGCCCCGTCGTGGCCCGGAAACACGTGAAAACACGTGCCCCGCGCGCTCGCGCCGGGCGCATGTTGGCCCCCCCTTCCGTTGCCGTCCCCCCCTCCGCGCACGCAATTTCACATGCCAAAAATTCGCCACCCCCAAGTGGGGTCACCCAGGGGCCCCGTGGACGCGTGAAAACAGGTACCCCGCGCGCACGCGCCAGGTACATGCTGGGCCCCCCCCCTCCGCGCACGCATTTCTCACGGGGAAAAACTTCGGCGCCTGCAAGTTGAGTCCCTCGCTTGCGGCCCCGTCGTGGCCCGAAGCGCGTGGAAACACGTGCCGAACGCTCGCGTGCAGAGACTCATGTTGGAGACCCCCCCCCTTCGCCGCACACATATGCTTTCACGTGCCCAGCTCCGACGCCACATGCTCGACACTTGCCTCTGGTGCAGGGCCTCAGGCCCGCGGACTCCAGTGGAGGCCAGTCCACCAGAAACCTTCCACGAGAGACCCGACCCTGAGACCCCAAGACGTCCATTGATTTCTGGTGTGAGAACATCACGCTCTCCATAGCAAAACCATCGAAACCCAAGAAACCCAGGGCACCCTGGAGGCAAGCATGGTGTTTCTTGGCATGGGCCCTCACTGTAGAAGAGGACCATGGGCCGGAGCCCGTACGGGGAACACAGGAGGGGGCGGGACGCCCCGCGCTCCGGCGAGCCCCAGGGGGTCGGGGCAATGGGGCCTGCCGCAGCGGTGCTGCGGCCCGAGGAGAAGGAGGAGGAGGAGAAGGAGGAGGAGGAGGAGGAGGAGAAGGAGGAGGAGGAGGAGCAGCAGCAGCAGGAGCCGTTGCAGGAGCCGAAGCACGAGCAGCAGCAAGGAGGCGGGCGGGCAGTGCTTCCACGGTGCTCGGCCACTGCCACCGCAGATGCCCACGCCTCTCCCAGCACGACGGCCACACTGGGCAGCAACCTCCCGGACGGCTGCTTCAAACACTCGCTCTGCATTACACCACTACTTCCACTCCCCTGTCCCCCCCCTCCTACGAGCCCTTCCATTTTCCATACCCCTTCCACTCCTCCCACCATTTATCAGAAAAAGGGGGGGGGGGGGGGAGTGGAGGAGCGTAGCCATCCACTCCACCGATCCACCTGCATCCCTACCAGCCTCACCTCACCGGACCCCTAGGGGCACAAAAAGACAGCGATACCGCTACTCCCCGACGCTCTCCTAGGGCGGGCCCTGAGCACGATTCTGAGGCGACCCCAGCCGTGGCCACGAGGGCACCCCAGGAGGCCTGGAGGTGAAATCGAGGGAAGCACATCGGTGTTTCCCTCCGACCTCGCACTCCACTCCCCCACACCCTTCCCTCCCACAAGCCCTCCCAAACGCTGCAGAGTACAACAGCGCGATTACACAGATCCCAGCAACCCGCGCTCCGTGCGCTATGGCGTACAGGAAGCCGACGTTCTTCCGGCCGAAGTGCCGCCAGGGGACCGTGGAGGCGGGAAGAGCTGAGAGGGATAAGGAAGAGCTGGGGGGAGGGAGAGTAGGACGATGAGGAGGAGATGGAGACTGGAGGAAGCATGAGGGGTATGAGAGGTTCAAGGGAGGAGGAGGAGGAGGAGGAGGAGGAGGAGGAGGAGGAGGAGAGGCAGAGGAGGAGGAGGGAGGAGGAGGAGGAGGAGGAGGAGGCAGAGGAGGAGAATAAGAAGAAGAAGAAGAAGAAGAAGAAGAAGAGGATACGACACGACACGACACGACATGCACACCAAAGACGCCATCGCATCTGATTGCAATTGGTGTGAGTACTGAACTCACTGACCTCAAAAGCGCGCAGCCATGGGCCCTGCAAATAAAAGGCTGACTGTAGGCTGGTGATGCGGTGAGGAGCAATAGCACGAGAGGAGGAGGAGGAGGAGGAGGAGGAGGAGGAGAAGGAGCAGCAGAAGCAGGACGAGAGGAGCAGCAGAACGAGAGGAGAAGGAGGACGAGGAGGAGAAGAAGGAATTGTCACAAGCGAGGCTCCCGCAGCAGCTCCACAAGTAAAAGAGCAGCATTCCGCTCGAGCGATGTGCCGAGGCACCTCGTCTGCTGCAGGAGGAGGAGGAGGTTCAGGGGGGGAGGAGGTTCAGGG